TAAACCTTGAAATACGTCACTGATAAAGGTAGACAAGATGCAGCCCACATTTGCCTCTTCTGTGAAGTGTTTTGGACATACCCAGACCATGGGAATACAAAAATAAAAGTAATTAGCATTTGCGAAGTGCTTGCTATGTGCCAAACACTGCTCTAACTACCATATGCATATTATTTCATTTTATCCTTTGTGATAGGTACTATGATTAGCCCCATTTTACAGTGAGGAAAACTGAGTCCAGAGTGGTTAAGTGACTTGCCCCAGGTCATACAGCTATCGAATGGTGGAGATGGGATTTGAACCCAGGTGGTCCTAAGTCTTAACTTCTCTGTGCTGCCTCTGAGCTCTCTCTGGGCTCCGAATTCATGATAGTGACTGTAGCACTTGGTCCTATTTCCATGGGAGTATTTATTATCTCCCCAGCCACCCTGGAAGCCCTCTGCCTTCAGGGACTAGAGTTTAAATGGGTCTGTCCACTCCCTAGAGCCCTGGATGCCCACAGCAGTCCCTAAACATGTGCTGGTGGACGGCATGGGGGAGCTTTAGGGATGTGTATAAATCCCCAAGCTCCCTCAAAATGCTGGATTTCCAGATCAAGGTGCAGACTGAAGAGGGGAAAATGAGGCTCCTAGGCACAATCTTGTTAATTTACAACACTGTAAAGAACTTGATCATTTAAAAATTAACAACATCATGTAAATGAGATCTTACTAAGTGCTGCATCTTACCAAAAAGAAAAATGCTCTGGCAGGAAGTATTTCTTGCAATTGATGTGTTACTATGTCTGCATGCACAAACAGTGCGCAGCTGGAGAGACATTCGAATCTGGGGAACTCCACTCCCTTTTCCAAGGAGCAGATAGATACATACATAATAGATGACTAATACATACACACACACATCATAAGTGATAACAGAAAATTGTAAAAATAGGTAAATCACAATAACATATAGATAATAGGGGAAAGAGAAAGAGAAAGAGGAAAATAAAGAAAAGAGAAAGAAGGAAGAAAGGAAGGAAGGAACGAAGGAAGGAAGGAACGAAGGAAGGAAGGAAGGAAGGAAAAAGGAAAAGAAAGAAGGAAAGAATATTAATGTAATGTCCGGACTAATGACAAGTGACGTTGGCCTTGGCCACATGAATGAGTTGCCTGTTTTTGGAGAAGAGAAGAGGACGCTCTGGGGAATACTGGTCTGGGCTAAGTCATGGGACATGTTCTGTTTGTCCAAATCGGGTTGAAATCTTCCACTAACTAGCTGCTTCACCTTGGCAAGCTGTTTCACCTCGCTGGGCTTCGGTTTGCATATTCGTACAAAGCACTTAATAATACAAGCCTCACTATTTTAGTGAGTGAAGCAGTGGAGGTTAAGGACATGAGCTCCCACCGAATGGCTCTGTTTCTTATTAGCGACGCAGCACTGAGTACATGACTTACCTACTCTGTGCCTTGGCTTCCTCATATATAAAACGCTGATTATAATAGTTCTACCTTGTAAAGTTGCAGGGAGGATTAAATGAGCTAACATGTGTAAAAACATTTACAACAATGATGGATTCAGGTGCTTAGTGAATGTTAGCTATTATAATACCAAACAAAATGCAAAAACAGAGAAAAATTTCAAGTGCTTTATAAACACACTGGGTCATCGTGGCTGGAAGATGAAGGAAATCTACAAACTAAGCTATGTGCCTGCAAGGAGAATAAATAGTCACCTTTTCTGGTTGACATTATCACATGCTTCTCTAGTCCAAGGCTAAGTTTGTTGTCCTCACCTACTGATGGCAATGCTACCATGTATTGAGTTTTACCTAGATACCAGGCACTGGGCTAAGGAATGTCATTCTATCCTCACACACAGGAAGAAATTTTCATGAAATGGAGACTATCACTAGCCCCATTTTAAAGACTTGGAAACTGACACTCCAAGAAGTTAAATGACTTCCCAAGAAACAGAAAGTGGCAGAACGGAGGAGTCTGAAGCCCAGGCTGTGTTCCCAAGTCTAATTTTTCTTTTTTTTTTTTTTTTAATGTAACATAAGTACTCCATTGATCCTTCATAGATACAAATGTTTCTATTTAAGAGACAATTCCCACTATCTTAGGTCCCTTAAAAAATTGTATTCTAATTTCCCAGGTATGAAGAAACAAGGATTACCGTAGCATCTCTGGGGGCCTGTCCCCAAAATGACTACAGTCCATAGAAAGCTGGGATTTCAGAAGGGGACATACCTCCAAAGCACCCCCAGGAGGATCAGCACACGTTTCTCCCAGAATGACATGCAGACAGCTCAGAAGGGAAGCTTGTCCGGTCAGGGCTCCCATCACCTGTCCCTGTATCCGCGATGGATACCTGCACACTTGCCTGCCCATCACTTATTCCTCTTTCTGGTAACAACTGCTAGACTCTCTTTTGGAGAACTAATCTCCTTTCCTCTCCCCTTGCTCCCAGACCTTGTGGTTTGGGTAGAACTGACCCAGTACCAAAGGTGGGTCATGAAATCCAAGCCCAATTTCATTCTGCCAGCCACAGAAGTTTATGGATAGACACGTAGCCCAAACCAGGCCTTTGAAGATAAGCCTGGGGACATTTGCTGCACCTATTAAATAAAAAGCTTTTTCTTTCTATTAGGGTAGCAAATCCAACAAGACAGATATCTGCAACTTCTAGAGCCCATTTTCCCCACTATAAAGAGAGTATCTGCCTGAGAATGAAGCCGACAGGAGAAAAAGCAGAGACAGACACAGATTCCCCACATCAGTATTTGAGCACCTAGATATATCCAAAACTGAAGCCATACCCTTGGGTTCTTTCAGTTGTCTGAGCCAACAGATTCTTCTTTTTGCTTAGGCAACTTTGAGTTGCATTTCTTTAAAAATCCTGATCAATAAGCACCCTTTGGATATACAGAGTTCATTGTACACGTTCATGAATGTCAGGTTGTGTACCACAAGTTGGAAGCACGAGATAAATTACACCTAGTGCTTGCCTGCCCTCAGGAAGCCCATTCCCTAATGGGAGGGGCAGTCATATGAAGAGATGATTACAGGCAGCACAGGAAGTACCTGAGAGTCCTAGAGGGATTCACAAAGGATCAGAAAGGATTACGTGGTCAAGAATTTGAAGGATGCTTTCATCTTGAGTCTGGTCTAGAAGGGAAGAGAGACATCCAGGCAGAGCCATAGTTTATGCAAAGTCATAGAAGTATGGACAAGTAGGTAATATTGAGAAACCAAGTGTATCTGAAACGTAGGGTGAGAAGAAAACGACCGCTGCTGCATCTCCCAGGTGCTTCATGTAATTTGGCAAACCCCACGATGTTACCGACCAGCTGGCAAACAGTGAAGGGGCCGCGTGCAGGGTAGGAGGTGGCCTCGATCTCAACTTGACATGACTGAGCATTGACAGAAGGGATGACCAGCTACACAGTTTGTGGGGCTCAGTGCAAAATGAAAGTGTGAGTCCCCTTGTTCAAAAATTATCAAGAACCACAAGATGATGATGCCAGAACATTAAACAAAGCATGGGGACCTTCAGAGCATGGGGTCTTATGCAACTGCACAGGTCTCATGCCCAGGAAGCTGGCCCAGACATAGAGCTAGGGAGGGACCAGCCTCTGACCCATGATGTGGCCTGGGCCTATTCCCACTAGCACTTCCATCATTGCGAAGACCAGCTTCCTCCCTGTGTGGTGTGAACAGGGAGAGCTGGGGCAAGTCAACCCAGGCTGAGCATGCTCTCGGACACTGTGTGGCTCAGTCGACTTTCCTCTTCTCACCATAAGCAGAGATGCACAGGCAGGTATTGCCTTCTGCCTGGACAAACCTCTCCTCCCTTCCACCAATCCCTAAAGTTGGCCCTGAGCACACTGTGGCAAGTGTGTCTATATGGTCACACGGCTGGGCCTGTGGCATCCAGGCAATGCAAGAACAGCTGTTCAGAAGACTGAAAGGGAAGGTCACAGACTGTCTGGGATTAGGGTTAGCTCTTGGACGTACCTGAGATAGAAACTCTCAGACTATATCCAATAACACAACTATTAATATATAAATGTTTATAGTCTTGCTTCTTTCCCTTTGCTTAAGAGGAATTCTGCTTTTGCCTTTTCAGCCTCTGCCCTTACTCTCCCTTGTAAAGGTATTTCTGTCTTCGCCGTTCAATGCTGGGCTTTTTTACATAGAACAAGGGCAGTAGGTAAAGGCAGATAAAACTAGAAGCCAGTATGAGGTGAAACCATTGCGTGAGAGATATTGAAAGCCAGAGGAATGGAGAAATAGAATATTTGAAAATATTAATGAGTGTTATGACTTGGATTTCACTTTGGTGAAATGGTATTAGAGATCTGGCAGTGAAGACTGAAATTGTTTGTAATCACTTTTATCTCACATTCTGCTGGGCCATGTGGGATCTAAGTTATACTTGGGTTACATTGATGGTCTATGAGATGTTAATAGGTATCATATATACACACAAAGATGCAGCAACTGCACACCATATGGTTCCATGGGCAAATAAATCTGCGAAATGCTGTATCCTAAATCCTTCTCTTAGAAAAATCACACTGGCATATTAAAAGCTCTGAGAAGTACTGCAGCAGAGAAACCCATTCAAAGCTGTTTAATCCAATGCCTCCTAAACTTCTTTTACCATATATCACGAAATATGTTAATATTTTAATTTTTTAAATACATTTAAAAACACTATAATTTTAAAAATGCTTGCCCAAGTCCTCCTGTCTTGAGAGTTTAGGGAAGCCACAGACACAGACAAAGTATGATATCCTAACTGAGACTTAAAGCATGGAGAGGATTGGGAAGACTTTTTGAGTAGCTTCAAGATTGGTGAGGCGCTCTTCCCTGGGCTTAAAGGTAGAAAGAAAGGATGTGTTAACACTTTAATTTCTTTTCACCAGGGAGAAACCATCTCTACCTCATCTCTACCAGTGATCTTCAAAATGACCACAGAGTGAGGTAGGTTTTTGGAAGGGGGCGGCAGCTCACCTGTTCTGAACCATGCTCATGGCCATCCAGTCCACAGGGTACACGTTCTTGCCAATGAGGTCCTTGAACATGATGAAGGTCTCCATCAAGAAGTCCTGAAACAGTCAAGCGCAACATGCCTGTCACCCTGTTTTATAGCAGCTGACTGGAAGTGCTCAGAGCTTGCTGGCTCTTTAAATTTTTTTCTTTATTATTTTTTGGAGGAAGATAAAGGGAGAGGGCACAGCCTTCACTAACTAAATTCAGTGAAACCCACAGCAGTGGATTTTAAATGGAAGCTTACAATTTGGCTACCGGGAGACTGTTTCACAAGTATCAGTGGAACATCAATGTGGGATGCTAAAACACTCTCAAAGTAAAGCACTATTAATTCTGTCTTTGAGAATAAAAAAAGTAAATGTACTCATTGATGCGGCAATTTTATAATCATCATCCCAAACATGTATTTGAGAAGGAAATAATTGACACTGTATGAAAGCATCTCAGGTCATTGAGCAAACAAACTGTTATTAAAATGAACATCTAATTAGCAGTGCTGTAAACACAGCTAATTCATATATTGCACACACTCGCATGAACATATTTGAAGAAACACAATGACAGAAACTCTTTTTCTCTCCGTCGAAGAGGTTCAGAGTGGATCACAACACAGTCCATCAGATTTTGCAGTGGGCTCCACTCGTTCTCCGTCTTTGGAGAACACAAATTGAAGACAGATCCAGACAACCAAGACCAGAACCAGCGGTGCTGGGACCCTTCTGAGCTGGAGGTAATGAAGTCATGCCACCTGCACGCTTTAGGTAAAATTTAAAGCCCATTCAGGGTTCTTTCTTTAAGCCAGTAGTGTTCACATTATCTCAACAGCAATTACTTTGTCCAAATAAAATCTCACCTAGAACCCAACATATAAAATATAGAAAAGTAGAACAGCTCTGGTTGAATTCTGTGTGTGTGTGTGTGTGTGTGCGTGTATGTTTATGTTGGCTGACAGTGAGACTACGAGGAACATAATTTGAAAATCACTGCTTTAAGCTGAATTGCAAAATTCTGAAAATGGCATTTGTTCCTTTCCAGCAGTCTTTGTTTCTAGGGAGAATTGCCTCAATGCTCTCCGTCCTAGTTTCCCCGTCAGCAGAATGGGGACCACGACCACCTCAAATGGCCACCGTGAGGACTAGGTGCTGACTGTGCTCAGATGCCAAGTACAGAGCCTGGCCCTTGTAAACACTCATCACATGCTTGATGATGACAACGCTGAGTACTATTACCCATCCTTGATGTCACCTGGGGAATTGTGACTATCATTACAGCCTACTCCCTTCCCGTGGGAATGGAGAATGCTCTGGTCATAGATGGAAAACATGGCTCCGAATGAGGAGACGTAGCACAGTGTAAGTAAGGGTTAGTGCCAAGGTTCAAATCCTACCTCTGCCACTTACTAGCTATGGGGCCTTGAGCACACAGATTGTAGATCTGCAAAGTGTGACTCCTAAAACCTGTGTCACACTGTTGTGAGGATTGCATAAGACAATGTATACGTTCAGCAGACAAGAATTCCCTCTCCTGCCTTCCTTGCCCAGAAACCTTTCCTTCCACAGAGAATTGAAAATTAGGAATCCAGTTTTTCTATTTCCATGTCCTGAGACATGGACAACTTGGGGGTGGGTGGGAAGGTTCCATGTCTTGCCAATCTTACCCCAATGGGGAAAACATCTTACTGTTGAGTGGACGAAGGTGTAGGGCATTGACTTTCTAATGATTCCTTTTTCTTGGGCCACGCTCTGAGGTTGGTCTAATTCTGGTGCCCTTGGTCCCTCCAAGGAGCATTGAGAGTGAAACTAGGCAGTAGGACTCCTGAATCTGGCAGTAGTAAGGAAACAGTGACAAAGGTGACCATACTAAGGGCAAAGAGTGTTCTGCTACAAGCCCAGGACAGGAACAGTCTGGGCTGGGCTCTATGTTGAGGAAGTCATCTGTTGCAGAGACATGAGCCACAGGCCACAGACTATAGGCCACAAGTAGGTGGTCCCGTAGCAAATGTGTCCTGAGAGGCTGGAAGAAGCAGGCTCAGAGGCCAACTTCTTCTATGCATTTGTGATCTTAATATAACAATGGCAATCTTTTACTCGGCACTTACTATGTGAGAACTACCATGCTCTCATGTAAACCCTTCTCAACCCTGTGACATAAATGATATTATCCCCACTTTACAGATGGGGAAACTGAAACTTACAAGGGGTCAGCTTGCCTATGGTCCCATAGCTAGCCAGTGACAAATCCTAGATCAAACCTAAGACTGTGTGACCCTATCACTCATGCTCTTAAGCTCCAAAATGTCTGTGATTCAACAAATATTGGTTAAAGCACATCTAGATTATATGGTAAACATTCAGGTCTTATCTCTGACATGGAATGAAGACGTGAGAAATACAAGAAATAGGGTATGAGACAGCACATCTGTAAACTTAAACACACACACATACACACAATATCTGTGGGGAGACCTTCTTGCCCTAAACTCGTGAGAACCAAGAGTTCTTCCCCAGCCCCAGCACCCTGCAGACTCACCACAAGTTCAGAGTTGGTCTGGAAGGTCTCAATATAGAAGGAGTAGTGCTGGTCACCCATCTGGTTTAGGATGGCTGTCATACATGCCACAAAGTGACTCTACAAGACATGAAGAAAAACACCATGAAACAGCAGAGAGAGGACCACAAGATTCACCATCTCCATTTTCTTGACTTCACACTGGAAAACACCCAACCATCCCAGCCCGGGATACAAAGGCCCTCCAGGGATGGAGAATCTCTCCTTACCAGACCAGCATGGGAAATTTCCCTATGAGGAAATGTTTCCGTATGGCTCATTCATTGAAAAAGAATTTACTGAATAACTATTATGTACCTATGACTGTAACAGGAGCTCCAGACATAAGACTTGATCCATTTTCTATCCTGATGCTTGTGCATGGGGAAAAGGGCGCTGTACTGGTGTCTGGAGACCCAGCCTATATCAAGATCCTGAAGAGAATTTCATTTTCTGATAAATAATTTTGCATGGATAAGCCCCAATTGTCTCATCTGTCAAGTGGGACAATAATCCACCCATGTCTGCCCCGAGAGGAGTATCGAAAGAATCCGATGGTTCCTATAGCACCTTAAAATGCACGAAGGTTCTCTGCAGAGGGACCATTTGTTGGATCACCATGAATCAGCCAGTGAGAACCCATCACCTACTGGGGCCTGGCACTTGTTAAGAGCAGTAAGGGATAAAAGAAATGAGAAGAGACAACCCTTGCTCTTTGTGAGTTTATACTCTAGTTGGGAAAGAAGATTAATGACCATGAAGGGAACAGTAGTAAGACCCTTTATCTGCAAGGCAGACTAAGTGCCAGAAAGATTGAAACAATAGGGAAATCAAGGTGGGCACTTGGAGAGGGGCCCCGGCAAGCAGAGACGCGAGCACCACACCCTTTCGTGCACCAGAAGACATCAGCACAGCCTTTTCTGCTGTCTCCCTCCCAGATTTTGTGAGTCCGTATCAGGGTGGGTTTTCTGTTTGTGCTAAGATCTGCAAGCATCATTTAGGGAGATCTATTCTGGAACCTGGTAAAGGAAGCAGTGGCCACGAATCCACCAGGGGTGAGAAGCCACTCTCAACTGTCTCCTGCAAGATTTCACTGGGGCTGCCATCGTAGCCAAAAACAGTTCCACTGTGGCCCAGTCCAAGGCAGGCTTGTGGAGTATCAGAAACTACTGCCTTTGTTTTTTTTTTTTTAAAGGTTATCTTTTGTTAAAAATATATAGCAAATATAAAATATATACAGGCATACCTCGTAGCTATTGCAGGTTTGGTTCCAGACCACTATAATAAAGTGAATATTGCAATAAAGCCAGTTGCACAATTTTTTTGGTTTCCCAGTACATATAAAATTTATGTTTACACCATACAGTAGTCTATTAAGTGTACAATAGCATTATGTTTTAAAAAAACCAATGTACTACCTTAATTAAAAATACTCTATTGCTTAAAAAATACTAATGATCATCTGAGCCTTCAGCAAGTTGTAATCTTTTTGCTGGTGGAGGGTCTTGCTTCGATATTGCTGGCTGCTGATGGATCGGGGTGGTGGTTGCTAAAGGGTGGGGTGGCTGTGGCAATTTCTTAAAATAAGGCAGCAACGAAGTTTGCCACATCAATTGACTGTTCCTTTCCCAAAAGATTTCTCTGCAGCATGTGATGCTGTTTTTACTACAGCATTTTACCTACAGTAGAACTTCTTTCAAAACTGGAGTCAGTCCTCTCAAATGCTGCTGTTGCTTTATCAACCAAGTTTACGGATTATTCTCAATCCTTTGTTGTCATTTCAACAATGTTCACAGCATCTTCACCAGGAGTAGATTTCATTCCAAAAAACCACTTTCTTTGCTCATCCAGGAGAAGCAACTCCCCATCCATTCAAATGTTATTATGAGACCGTGACAATCCTGTTGCATCTTTAGGCTCCACTTCTAATGCTAGTTATTTTGCTATTTCCACCATTCTACCGTTACTTCCTCCACTGAAGTCTTGAGCCCCTCAAAGTGATCCGGGAGGGCTGGAATCGATTTCTTCCAAACTCCTATTAATGTTGATCTTTTGATCTCTTCCCATGAATCACAAATGTCCTTAACAGTATCTAAAATAGTGAATCCTTTCTAGAAGGTTTTCAATGGAATTTGCCCAGATCCATCAGAGAAATCACTATCTATCTTAACTGTAGCCTTACAAAATGTATTTCTTAAATAATAAGACTTGAAAGTTGAAATTACTCCTTGATCCACAGGCTGCAGAATGGATGTTGTGTTGGCAGGCATGAAAACATTAATCTTCTTGTACACCTCCATAGAGCTCTTGGGTGACCAGGTGCATTGTCAATGAGCAGTAATATTTTGAAAGGCATCTTTTTTTCCTGAGCAGCAGGTCTCAACAGTGAGCTTAAAATATTAAGTAAACCATGGTATAAACAGATATGCTGTCATCCAGGCTTTGTTGTTCCCTTTCTAGAGCACAAGAAGAGTCAATGTAGCATAATTCTGAAGGCTCCTAGGATTTTCAAAATGGTAAATGAACATTGGTTTCAACTTAATGTCACCAGCTGCATTATCCCCTAATAAGAGAGTCAGCCAGTGCTTTGAAGCCAGGCAATGACCTGTCCTGTGTAGCTATGAAAGTCCCAGATGGGATCTTCTTCCAATAGAAGGCCATTTCATCTACACGGAAAATCTGCTATTAAAATAGCCACCTTCGTTAATGATCTTGGCTAGATCGTTTGGATGACTTGCTGCTGCTTCTACATCAGCACTTGCTTCTTCACCTTGCACTTTTATTATGGAGAGAGCCTTTTTTCTTAAATCTCATGAACCAACCTCTGCCAGCTTCCAACTTTTCTTCTGCAGCTTCCTCACCTCTCTCGGCCTTCACAGAACTGATGAGAGTTAGGGCCTTGCTCTGGATTAGGCTTTGGCTTAAGTGAATGTTGTGGCTGGTTTGCTCTACTCAGACCACTCAAACTTTCTCCATATCAGCAATAAAACTGTTTCACTTTCTTATCATTTCTGTGGTCACTAGATTAGCATGTTTAATTTCCTTCAAGAACTTTTCCTTTGCATTCAGAACTTGGCTAACTGATACAAGAGGCCTAGCTTTTGGCCTATCTCAGCTTTTGATACACTTTCCTCGCTAAGCTTTTGATTTAAAATGAGAGATGTGTAAGTCTTCCTTTCACTTGAACACTTAGAGGGCACTGTGTGGTTATTAATTGGCTTAACTGCAATGCCGTTGTATCTCAGGGAAGAGGGAGGCCCAAGGAGAGGGAGAGAGCTGGGGGAACATCTGTTCCAGTGGAGCAGTGAGAATGCACACAACACTTACCAACGAAGTCTGTCATTTTATGTGGGCGTGGTTCATGGTGCCCCAGAAAAATTACAATAGAACATCAGAGACCACTGACCACAGATCACCATCACAGATATAATAATAACGAAAAATTTGAAATGTTGTAAGAATTACCAAAAGGTGAAACAGAGACAGGAAGTGAACACATGCTGTTGGAAAAAGGGTGCCAACCGACTTGCTCAAGGCAGGGTTGCCACAAACTTTCCATTTGTTAAAAACACAGTATGTGTGAAGTGCAACAAGATGAGGTATGTGTGTGTGTGTGTGTCTGTGTGTGTGTGTGTGTGTGTGTGTGTGTGTGTGTGTACGCATCCTTCCAGGTTTACAATTTAGTTCGTTGGTGGAGGACAGTGTTGCTGACCCCAGGAAGGCCTTCTGAATTCCTACACAGGTAGTCTTTTGGGAAACTGAATGCTCTCCAAGCTCGCACTCCCCAAAGTAGCTCCCAAAGATATGGGTTCTCATTTTCTTCTAGGTTCTTTTCACTTAGTAAGTTAGGAATAGTGAGTTTCACATCAGCAAGACCAGCTATGTAATTTGTGGGGCCCAGAACAAAATGATTTTCATTTTGCAGGGCTCCTGTTTAAAATTATTCAGAATTTCACAACAGCCGCGGGGCCCTTCTAAGCAAGGGGCCCTGTGCGACTGACTACACGGTCCCCACGCCCAGGAAGCCGGCCCTGCCTGCCAGCACCACCACACTTGCGCACCATAAATGTTTAGAAAACATGCAAGTCTGGCAGAGAGTGCCAAGCAGGGACTGTCAGGAGCAATGGATGATGACACTTTGTTGATGGGAACCTGCAGCCAGTGCACTGGGTGGCACCTCCCTGAAGATCCGAAGTAAAATCCTCTCTGCTTCTCAGGCCCCCAGGGGGTGGTAATGAGTTTGTGAAATTATCCCTTTCAAACCAGATAGAACACCACCGTCACTGTGAACTTAACCGGGTCCCACTTAAAGCAAGAAATGAGCATTATTACTGTTTATACCTTTGGCCGGGCCAAATGCAAAAAAGGAGAAAGTTTGAGGGGCATAGGGGTTTGTGGTTGTGTGCCTGTGTGTGTGTGTGTGTGTGTGTGTGTGTGTGTGTGTACGAGCGTGTTTGCTCTACTCCCTCAATCTCCTCTCCCTTCCTTAAAAAATTCAGCCTGTGGCCACTAGAGGTCTTTTCTTTTCACATGGTAGCTGCCGTGCAGTTTGTTCGGCTTTTTATTTATTCCTACGTGAGCAGACCCACTACACTTCTTGCATATAAACAGTAAAAATTACAATATAAGGGACTTATTATTCCTCCTTTTGGAGTAATTCTGCTGCCGGTCAAAGCCTGGCTCGTTGTGCAAGAAAGGGGGGACAGCCTCTGCAGGTGATTCCGCTGCTTCAAGGTAAGAGACGTGGCTAGGCTTTATTCTCTCCGATCCATGATCCTCTAAGAGAAAATGCTATCGTCTCTTGGACAATAGTTTACTTTTAAGGATTTGACTTAAATGAGTACTGGGATTGTGAGCTTGTGAGTGTGTGTGTGTGGTGGTGTGTAGTGGAAAATCCACCATTGTCGGAACTGCATAGATATGGAATGCTTGTTATTTCCAATGGCTTAATTTGAATTTGAAGGCGGGGGGGGGAGCAAAAAACAAACCTCAAGTTTGCCTGGAATTACCGTTGAAAAGGCTGCACTGTCTTAAGCCTTGTTTAGAGAAACTTCCCTTCTTCATTTTAAAAGAAAAAAATA